ATACATGTTGAAAATATCAATACATTTTATTTCTATTTGTCACTCTTTATTTAATTGACAATGTATTAGTAAAGTGTTTTGGAAAATAGTATTTGTATTTTTTTTTTTTAAAATATTGTATCTAAAGCCAAAAGATTTAATTGTATTGTAATTTGTATTTGAGAAAGACGATCTAATTTTGTAACACACTGTTTCACCCAAATGTCTGTTCATTTAAATAGACTTAAATTGTAATATATTTGTAACCAAAGGGAAAAAAAAGATTAAAACAAAAGAACAACTAAACTAAATTTCTTTTGAGTAATTAAATGTCAATAAACTGTTTTATTTTACAAAAAATAGTGTTTATCATGTCTTCACAAAAACATCTTATTATTTATATTTTAAATATCTTCTGGCTGCTTAAAGCATGTCCATTAAGTTCTAAAACTTTTTTTAATCTAAAATTCTAGTAATAAGTTCGCAAAGTAAAGGGGTAGTGTTAAACAGTTTGAAGAGAGATTGACTTCAGGCGTTTTTATTTTTTTTTTAAAAGAAACCTGGGGGGAAAAAAGATATTTAAAAAGAATGATTGGAAAATGTTAGGATATTCAAAAAAGATAATGAAATTTATTGTGCTCTGAAACCCAGGAAGTTTGAGATGTGTTGAAGGAACAAAATAGTTGTTTTGTGCTGAAAATGAAATTCCATTTGTAGGCATCCTAGCGTAAGATGTCTATAGGGGGTATGACTACCATGGAAAGCGATTCAAGTTTCCAGACGTCGTTGCATGCTTTTCACAAGTGTTCAGTGGCTGTTGGGGAAAATTTTTCCCCGATTCCTCTGTCAGTGTACGGATGAGGGTGTCCTTGTTTATCGCATGACATTCTGGACTAGCAACACGCCTCCCCAAAGCATTCCACACATTTTCAATTGGATTCAGATTTGGAGAACGTGCTGGCTATACGAGGCGTTGAATATCCTCGCTCTGTACAACGCTCCTCAACAGCAATTGTTCGATGACATGTTACATTGTCGTCCATGAAAAATTTATCAAAGATAACACCACGGAAAAAGCGAACATAACATAGCAAAATATCAACAATATAGCATTGGCCAGTCATAGTACAAGTTGGAAGCACGTAAAGGAGCGTTCAACCATTAATCATAATGTAGTGTCATGCCAATCCATACCATGACACTACATGTGAGATATCGGTCCCTTTCCTATATGTTTGCACTATTACCAATCTTACGCCAGAATATTTGTCGTAGACAATCAGACGAAAAACTAAATCTACTCTCATCTGAGCATAATACACAAGCCCAGTCCTCTTCGCTTCGTAGTGCTGAAGACACAATTGCAAGCGTGCGCTATAGTAAAGTCTGGACAATGGTTTGCACCCAATAGCAGCATGAAACCGATTTGGTACCAGACTGGCTGAATTGTACCGGTTCCTCTTTGTCGATAGCACTATGTACCTGTCTTCTGCAGGCGTCGTACATAGCACACGACCTCCCCCGGAACGTCTGCTACACATTCCAGTTGTTTGAAATTATTTCCAAAGCCTTGAAACAGCACTGTGACTGACGTCGAACTCTTTGACAACAGCTGTTATTTTCCGACTTTCTACAATTTTCACTATATTAACGGGCACGCGCAGAATCATCTAAATGACGTCAGGAAGACAAATCGAAAATTGCTAGTTCAATTGTTTCCCGTTAAACTTTGAACAACGCTCAATACACGGCAAATCCTTTTAAAAATACTGTCATGTGACACACACTCAAAAATTTGCGTGCTCAAAAAGTCTTTGTATTTCGCACTCATGCTAATTTTCACATTTTCCAACCCTCAATACAATTGTTGCTATTATCAAACGCCTTTAACAATTGTCCAGCAGTGTGTATGTAATAAATTATTGACTCATTTTCAAAGGAGAACTTACTTGGTTTTATGCATTCAGTTATATTAATCAAATCAGAAATCTTATATAACTCAACATAGCAACTTTTGATCTCTAAAATCTGGCAATTTCACACATACTGATTAAAAAAAAACTCTTATGCTAATCTATTCCAGCTATAAATTCAAATACAAGATTATATGCAAATCCCAATATGTCATCTGCATGTTTCCAGCATTGATCTTTACATTACTTAAGAAAAAAAAATTTAATTTTTCTTGTTAGTTAAGTCAGTGTATAAAAATATAAGCCTATATATTCAATTATGTATTTTATATCTTCAGAAAGAATTTTGTTTTTTTAACTGTTTCTTTACTTTCGTACAGCAAATTAACGTCCATTATGGACTCAATTTTTAATTCCATATCAATTTTAATTTCATTGGGAAACTATTTTTTAATAGGTGACCTTTTTTAAATATGTTAATAGCTTGAACTATTATTCCCAAAAATATCACATCAAGAATACATTTCAAAATTTATAGCAGTTTTCTCGCTAGTCCGTAATAAAGAAAATTTTGCATTTCAAGTCAAGTTTTTCAATTCTGTGTATTCTACTTTTCTTTTCACTACTATGTGTGATATTTCTGAGAAAAATTTTGTTTTAACGTATATTAAAAAGGTAAACTTTGAAAAAATTGTTCAAGCAGAAATATGAAAATAAAATTAAAATGAAGTTCATAATAGACTCCCCTTAATTGTACAAATATAATCCTGTATTAGTTTACATAACATCACGTATACAAATTTTGAGTAACTTTAAGCGAAAAATTATATCCCATTCATTCAGAGTTCCCCTATATACACGCACACACCAGATTTGAGATCTACTCCTTAAAACTTTAACAAGCTGCGAAAATCCTCTCCCCAAATTTTTTTTCTAAAATTTAGTTATTTCCCATACTGTAGAAGATAATCTCATCGAGAATCGGTGCTAACGCTCAAACAATTCAACAGTATCCTATCCTACTAAAGCAAATGTTAGAAATTCAGTCAATTGTTTAAACAAAAAAAAAAGCATAAAAAAATTGAATTCAATAAATTAAATGAACTTTTTCTCAGTCCAATTCACCTGAAAATAGAGAAAAGTGTGAAATAATATTTTCGGATTAAATATTCGAGTTTTTACTTTGTGCAAATTATTTTTTAGGTAGAATTCGTTTTATATAACTAATAGCGATACACACAGCATTATCTTTATTTTTAAGTCACTAACTTCTGAAGGAGTAAAAATTTACGCTAAAAATTATTTTTTAATAATTTGTTGATCCTATTTGAATTGTTTTTAATCAAATAATGATTTATTGCAACATTCTATATCATGTAGTAAAAAAATATCGCCTGTAATACTTTTAAAGTGGTGGTGGACCCACTTAGTGATTAAAAAAACGTCACGTGCTAATTAAACATTAGACAAATTATAATAATCACTGATATTGATTTGGTGATGGAAAAAATATTTTTGTTTAATGCGCCCACTTGTGAAAAAAAAAGTCTTAGTTATTATGAAGTTTAAAAAGTAAAAGTATTAGTTATGAATTTATTCTCCAAGCTAAGCTAATATTTTGTGCCATCTTAGAATGAAAATAATAAGAATTATTAGTACTCTGGCCAGTTGCTTAGTCGTGCAGAGCTTCTAAAGCAAAACCGAGATCTGCAGAGAATCAAACACTGCAGATTATTTCAAATTCAGACATTGGAAACATTTTGCTCTAAATCGACAAAAAATATTTATCCATCATCAGAAGACAATTCAACCAGCCAATTAGGACTTTTTGAGATCAACAGCATTGCAGACCCTACAGTGGACTGATCGTTTAGACACGATTCCCAGTAGAACACCAAACTGGACGACCACTTTGATCAGTGTGTGTAGGGACCACAGGTGAGCGGTATCGGCTCTCGTCAAATTGTTCTACGGTAAAGTGCTACACTTCGCTCGCAGGCAGTCAGAATATCAAAGCAGGGGAGTCATCCCCTCTGCAGAGGATCTAAATTGCAATGGCATGTCTTCGGATCATCCTCAGGCATGTTTCCCACAGTGGCCAATAGTTCACTGTGCAGTTTTAGTGCACCTTAAATAAAGTACCAACCTACTTTAAATGTTGACGCCATACATATTAAACATTATCTAAAATACACATATTCAATGACCACTTACACATCACTGATTTAATGTTACTTTCCAACAAACGTTTCTATTTATTAATTTAAGGGAGTCTGATTTAAGAAAAACTACATAGTGAATTTTTTTCGCAGCAGCTCCATTTTCAAAGATGCATACAGAAACAGTTTCTTTGTTTTATTCTAAATACTTTGAAACAGATGAATCCACCAACACATTTATTATACTGCCACCTTAAAAAAATAAAACAGCACCAAGCAAAGCAGTTACAACAGTTAAGTCGCCAATGTTTTTCCACTGTGAAAGGAAACTTGTACACGGGAAAAAGAAAAATTTCCTTCTTAACAGACGAGTGTCCATAATTTTTGCGATATTATCGCAGATCTGCATTTATCGTATTCATAATAAATCAAGAGAATATTATTTCAAAATCATTATCGCGATAGTTTTAAAATTCATATTTCATGATATATTGTAAAGCTCTACTCTTTAGTACGAATACTCTCACAGCATGCGCGCCTGGGGAAATGCTTACGCATTCTGCCAGACCCAAAACGATCAAAACACTACAGGTGTTCATTCATTTACTTTATCTACTAAGATTATTTCTGTAGATCAAGTGATTAATCAGGGGTCTGTCTAGGTTTATCTGAGAGGTACCTATTTTAAGAAAATTTAGACATAATTTTTGAAAATTATAATAAAAAACCAATACAAAAAATACGGATTTACCGTTTCTTACGGGATACAAAAATAAAATTTTAAGAAAAAGTATTTCGTGAAACTACCGTTTTTCCTGTTGTTGAATTTGTGAAGGTACCGCTAAGTAGTAGAAAATTTGACCTGGACAGATCCCTGTTAATAATGTTGAAGTAATTGATAACTCTCCTAAAACTTGAAAGAAAAGGGGAAGAAACTAAATCACACCACTTTAGAGTCACCAATGTGCCTTTTATTAAGAATTCTGATGACATACAGAGCAAAGCTGAAGTGTATTTAGGGAAGTACCCTCAAAGGTGCCACAAAACAATCACAGAATTTGACAAATAATTATCACAAAAAACTGATAGCTTTGGAATTTTTATGTTTTATAATATAATCATAACAATATATATAGTTTACAATCATTAATCAAATTGACAAGAAATACATTCTGGGTGAAATCAACAATCAGCTTTTACATTTGAGCAACAAGCAGACGCATATTTCCTATCCAAACTATAACACAGATGATATTTTTTTTTCTTGCTATTCTGTAAAAATTTGTTTTCTTTTAAATCTATTCACTGATCTTAATTGTTAAAGACACATTACTACATACCACAATGTCAAAAAGAAAAATTATATTGACAGCATTCAGATAATCTGAAGAAAAAACAGTTGCAATTTTATTTTATTTTTTTCCGAATTTGATTGTTGTTAAGTTTACTGACAAAAAAGCGGTTGATGTTCATCACCCAAAAAATGACAGAAGCCTATGCTCAATTGTACCCTGCCAGATAATATAAGACAGGGTAAAAACAGCATCAGCAAGATAGTGTTACTGCAATACTTTTTCAAAGGACATGTTTTTTTTTTATTCTTGCTCATCTCCCAGATCATGTTTCACTTTAGAAAAGTCAAAATCTTCGCCGGTGCCACGTCTGAAGATGTCTAGCACATCTAAGCAAGTAGTTTCAAAATGTGATGTGGCATCGTACGACTCGGATATGAATATCTGGAAACAAAATTAGAAAAAAATCAGTGAAAACTTGATGGATAACACCTGCAAACTATGTGTAGAACGATCCCCTGCTATAAATACAGAATCAGAATCAAAAGTCAAAATTAAAAAGTAAGCATTATGCTAATATATAAGATGAACACTCAGAAAACAAATATACATTTTCGCAAATTGATTTTGTTGAATTTATCTAATTATTGTAATTGGCAGAAAGAATTTTATAATTAATTTTTCAATTATGTTTAATTCTTACTCACAAAAATACGTTATTATAAATAAGCAATTTTTTTTATAAAAATGATTTGTCTTTTGGGTACCTCAAATTCTTTTTCCCTGACTGTTTGGATATTTTAAATTGAATTCCCTGATTTTTCATTAAATGGTGATCCTTACAGATCACCCTTAATATCTTAATATACTTTGCCATATTATTCTTGGGGGAAAAAAAACAATGGATCAAGCAAAGTTTTATAGTAATAACTGAAACAACCAGAAACCAGTTGGTGTACTAAACAGATTAAACAACACATTATTAAAATGTTTCTATTTGTCAAGCTAAAACAAATGCTCATGTAGAGTAGTCAATAAATGCTTTATCATAACAACTAAGAATTTCTACAAAACGTAAATTTTGTTACGATAACAAAAATGCTGCTGTCTCTACAAGTAAACTCATTATCTGTAACTAATAACTTGACAATTTCACAAGTTTGAGTGATTAAGATCTTTTGTTAAACCAATTATGGCATATTTATATTCACATTATACTCAAAATAGAAATAAAATTTAGAAGACAAATTATTTCCACAACTTTGTTTAATCACTAGTTTAAACATTATACCATATTTACTCTGAAACATTTTTTGACGTTTTAAAAGTTATAACCTCAAACTTTGTAATTTTAGTATTTCATTTCAAGAAATAAGAGTTCAAATTCAGATGAAGTTTACCTGACTTTCTTCACCTAAATCCTTGGGTTTAAAGCAGTCACTAGCCCACACAAACCTGAAATAAAAATAAAAAATTGTAAAAAATGTTATAAAAAAATTAAAAAACTTTACTAATTTTTTAAGCAGAAGACTTGTTTACTTTTGTTTAATTGGTCCCAAGAGGTCTAAACCAGGCTTAATCTCTTGTTCTGGATTTTCAGTTTCAACTGTTGTGCTCACCATGGCAACAAACCATCCTTTAGCTGCTACTTGGTGAGTATAAGAAACAAGAGATACATAGATATCTGGAAAAAAAACATGTAAACTTTTTAATTTAAAAATAATTGAGTTAAAATATCACGCTAGGGTCAATTATAAGTTAGCCGAGACATTTTGTTCGCCTGAAAAATTTAAAATCGCAGTAATTACATTATTAAAAAATTGCTTTAGAGTGAAGCCATTGTATTAATGAAATTGACCTCGTTAAAATCACATTGTAAAACTAACAAATTTAATGAAAAAATGTTTAAGTAAAAAACCACTGATCTAATTTATTAAAAAAGAAAAAGCAACTTCATTTTTCTCTAATTTCAACTTTAATTATTAATTTCATTAAGTAAAAAACCACAGATCTAATTTATTATAAAAAATTAAAAAAAACTTCCATTTATGAAAACAATTTTTCAAAGAAAAAAATAAATAATAATTACCTGATTTCCTGCCAACTTGTTTTTGTGGAATGATAATCTGGCATGACAAAGCATCCTTTGTATTTGGAATGGGGTGATTCAAAAGACATATGCAACGCACAACCTATAAAGAACAACACTGTTGATCAAACTAGCTTGCTAAAGGGAAACAAAGAGTCATTAACAGTAATAAAAACTATCTGTCAAATAACTGACTTCGAAAATCTATGCCATATGTAAAATTTTATTACAGGCAATTAACAGGACAGCAACGATGAAAAGAGAATTGTATAGTGCAAAAATTTTAACAAACCAAACTAATTATAGTAATTTCATGTTAAATTCCTAAAAAAAAGTCAAATACACACTATGACAATAAGAACACAAAGTTAAGATTTGGACAAAAATAAACAAAATCTTTAAACATTTAAAATTATGCATCAATATCTATATAAATCTCTTACATAATTATCCAGTTGTATTACACAATACCATGATATAATCACTTGCATATTGATACACCTACAAATCAAAATCTTGAGTATAATGTATCCCAGAATTTCAAATTTTTCAAACATAACAGAAAGTAAATTTTCAATTTAAGCTTTTTTCGGATCTAAAAAAAAGCTACACTTAAGAAAATGTTCTCATGAAATGTTTGCATTGGAAAACTAACGATTTTGTTGGAAAGAATTTAAATAAATAAAAGTTGAAGTTACAAAAAAAAAAAATTTATTAAAAAAAAAACTTTTACATTTCGATTTTTTTACATTACCAAAGATATATTTAATATTTGAATAAAAATACTTTACATTAGGGGTGCACAACTTTTTTGAGTGATGGGTCACTTGCACAGCAGGTAGATTAATGAAGGGACACACACTTATTTAGTCATGTTAGTGGCAAATATTATAATTTTTATCTAAACATTAGTGTTCTAAGTACCAAATATTTTTATCAGTAAACTTAAAATACCTGTCCAATTTTTTCAACTTTATCAGGAACATAAGATGGGTCACAGTAGACTTGCTTACATCTGGCAGTCTCACCACCAGAGCGCACACCAACTACCTTGCCATTTTCCATTACAAGTTCATCAATGGGTTTGTCCAACATGTATGTACCACCATAAATAGCACTGAGTCTAAAATGAAGATACATTTTGACATTAGTATTGTTTCTGTTGGAAAGTTGTGTTCCTAAACAAGTAGCAGACAAACTGTTGTCTTAAAGAAAAAAGATTGAACTTCAGGGGTGGTTGTGAGCCCAACTCAAAAATCCGGAAAATTTCTTGAATAAAATCATTAATGACACATTTCAAAAAATTCACGTCTTATAAATTTAAATCATTGATATTTTCAAAAAATGGAATTCTAAATAAATTATATGCAGTATAATTTAAATGAATAATTACTTATAAGTTTACTTTTATCTCTAATCACATTCATTATACAAGTAAAAAAATAATTACAAATGAAAGAGATGCCATGAATTAATTCTAGTTCTAATATTTTTAAACAAAATGTAAAAAAAAATTTTTATACATAAATGTGATCGATGATTTCTTGAAACTTCTGTACCTTGGATTTCAGGAAACTTCCGGATCGTGGTTAGCAAAAAATCCGGAAATCCGGATTTTTTCCAGAGCACAATCACCTCTGCTTTTTAAAATTAAGTCATGTTCAAATTTGTTTCTCTCATATGTAACTCCATTTAAAAAGTTGGAAGGCAGTGATACAAATTAATTTAGAAGTCGTGAACTATAGTTAAAAAAAAGAACTTAACTTTTAAACTGGATTACTGCTTATAGTTTAAATCAATTACTTCATCAATTGGTGAAAATAAGGAATTAGATTAGAAATTAGAGCTGATTCTCTTATAACATGTTTATCACTTAAATTAAAAGCAAGGATACAAATTAATTTGGGAGCAATAAACCATCAAAACAAATATAAAAAAAAGGATTTAACTTTCAAACTTGTTTTTTCTTAAATTGTTATTTCTTCATTACTTCGAGAAAATAAATTAGAACTACATTTTGACATTGTTGCATGCATTTCCACAAAAAAAATTATTAAAAAAATATATAGCACACAAAATTCTTCCTCACTATTTAGAATCAAAATTTATGTATTTTATAAATTTATGTTTGGAATTATTGAGCAATTTGCAAAAATTCAAAATTTTTTTTGTTGCACAATTACATGCAAAGTTTGTTGTGTGTACAGCAAATTTAAAATAAAATTATCAAATTTATAGGTGCAGAGATTTCATGAAATAAAGCAATCAATTAAACAGAGAAATGCTTGACTTTAAATAAGGATTCAACAAATCTATAACATTAATTATTAGTAATTTTAATTTAAAAATGCCATGTGATTAGTTTTATATTATCTTTTAACGCAAATGCATTTCACTAAATAGAAGTCTTATGAAGAAATAATTTTCAGAACTCTAGGAGGATATATAAAAATTATTTTATTCACAGCAAATCTTCAGGAAAAAAAAACTTACTAAAAATCAAACATATGTCTTCAGATTACACATTTTTTTTGTGCCATTGTGATATAAAACTTATTTCTAAACATGAATAAAGTTAAAGGCTTTCTTTGATTTAAAATGAGAATTATTTTCTTGAACATGATGAATCTTACCTAGCAAACCCTTGTGGAAGTTCACCAAGACCATAAAGAGGGTAGAGATATGGACTTTTTCCATAACGAGCCAGTGAGTCACTATACAATTTTATTCTGTTGATGGTTTCTAGACAAGGCTTTGCAAGATAACTAAAAGAAAACTCAAAATATAAGTAAGACAAAATAAGTAACACGAATGCTAAAAAGCATTATTTATTTTTTCTTTAAATTGAATATGGATTTAGAATATCCTACATTCGGTGGAAATTAAAAAGACAAAGATTAAGATCTTGCAAAATATTTTAAAAATTATAATAGTTCGAACAACTGATGCAAAAATATCAGATACACTAATTTTTTTCATTCTTTCGAAAAAAAAACTTGATTTAAAGTAGGATGGGTCACACACAACAAATATTATTTGAACATCAACACACTGGCCTTCTGACAAAAAGAGAAATAGAGTTAACTAGATTATATAACAAGGGAGAGAAAAAAATTTCACACAAGACACAGCATAAATTAAACTTTAATAATTAGTTTTTTCAAAACTCTATAACCATAAGTTATAGTTTAATTAATCTTGAATTAGAAATTTCATAGTGGAATTTAACTTCAATTTTAAAAAAAGTGCTTGATAAGACAAACCCTACTTATGATTGAGATAGCAAATTTCAGTCAAGTGCACTGCAGAAAAAGCTAAATATAAAAAATTTTTAAATTAAAAATATTTCACTTCTTTTCGGATATGATACATTTACCCTCAAAAATGCACAACATTATTGTATCCGTATGTTCTAGAATCTTTAAATTATATTAACTTTTCCTATTAATTTTTTTCTGAATATAATTGTTTCTAAAAATACCTTTATATGTAAAAAAAATTATGAAAGGAAAAGTAAAATTGCATATTAAAAAAAAATTATGAAAAAAGTTAAATTGATGAGAGTTATTCATATTTATCTTATTGTTTATAAGACATCAATAATTGATGATCAACAAATGTTCAACTTTATTACGGCTGTATAAGTTGATCCCATAATCATTGTAAAATTTTGGAGGTTTGACAGCCAAGCTCCGTAGAAATGTTAAGGCATTATACTAAATAAAATCACAGTTGTTTACAATACACAAGTTTCATAGATGCATAGCTAACCATAAGTGTAATTTATTGATAATTTTAAACCCTAAATCGTTTTCTCTCGCAGAATGTTACTTGCTACCATCTTCTACTAAGCTCTGTCATTTTTTAAGATGGTAAAAATTTCATATAACAATCAATTTGTAAGGACGGAGGACTTAGTTGTCTTCGTTAATTTTAAAAAATTTACAAAAATTTCAGATCTTAAAAAATTTGACATAAATTTTATTTAAGGACCCTATTTAACAATAGTTAGAATAAATTTCCTTTGGTGTTATATTCTTGAAATATACATTTTAAATCTAGAAGTAAAGATAAATGCCACTTTAAATATATTTTTCTGAGTGAAGATTTTTAGCTACATTATTACCAGTTTTCAGACCAAAACACAATCAATCAAGATGAATGTGTTGAATTTCTGATATCCTAAGTTAGATGTTAAGCAAAGTCTGATATCCTAAGTTAAATATTAAGTATATATAATAAATATGTAAATAATTTTTTCCTCACATTTTGGCAATTAAAATTTCAAGTTTTAAACCAATTTACAAGAAAATATCAAAGATATTAAATATTAAGAATAAACATAAAACTTACATTTCAGACAAAAAAATTTCAGATTTCAGAAAATTAAGTGATATATTGTTAGTAATTTTGTTATTGAAGTTTCTGAAAAACTTTTATCTAATAAAAAAAATGTTCTTTAAATAGTATTGATAAGAGTCCAGAAATCTATTTCAATGCTTTATAACACTTAGCCCTTATTTACAGTACAATAAATTCTTGCTGTCAATAGGCTACAGAAGTTTGAGGAGGAGGGGGGGAAACTGAACTTTGATTGCAACAAAACTTCAAAAATATGTTTTCTAATTCAATAATTTAAACATTAATTACGAATGAAACTTAATAAACTATACAATTAGAAGAATAGCTATATTAACCCTTTGCCCATGGAGGAAAATTTCACGATTCACCCCCTTAGTGCCACCCGTTTCCACAGGCCTGCACGTAGTTTTGGAGTGCATTTGAGAAAAAGTAGCATGCTTTTCAATCTAAAAACTGTTTACTTTCACAAAAAAAAAAAAAAAATGAAATAACAGCGTAATAAAAAAGTTATAATGAATGTAAAAATATTTAATATTCCGTATTTCTGACCCTTAAGATGAAGGAAAATAAAATCATCTAATTCACTCTCAGACATAGTTGCATCAAAAAATAATAACTTTATTAGACACAGAAACAAAAACAGATGCCAAAGGAAAGTAATAAAGCATGTACTTCTAAAATAAACACAAGCAATAACAGCATATCTCTGATGCGCCAAAAATCCTTTGAAAACACTCGCAAGGTCATATTGCAATACAAAGATGGGAGTGGAAGTAGTTTTACTAATAGCAGCGCACGCCAAACCCCATTGAGCAATGGGTACTTCTCAAAGGTGTAGATATAATCCCGGGGCAGGTGAAAGGTTAAATAAAACAAATTGCAATAAAAAAAATTTCTTATGGACATATTCAGTAATTTCAAAAGTTGTATCACCTTTCTATCAGTTGTTTATTAAAATGTCATTACTTTTGAACTTTCAATCGGAATCATTTCTTACTTAGAGCAAATCTATTACTTTATTATTCTGTTCAAAACTGTAATTTGGAGTAATATTTTTCGATTTAGAATTTAATAAAGTTGTTTATTTATTTTGAATGATTTTTATTAACTTAAATTGCAACTAAATATTTTTTTAAAAAACTTTTGAGACCAACTTTCTTTTTCAAAATTCAATGATTATCAAATTATTAATTTGGGAAAATAATCTGTAAAAAAAGATAAATTCAAATTTTTGGAAAATATTATCTTCATACAAGATTTAATTTCTTTTAAAACTACTTAAAAACTATATAATCTTTAATTCACCCTTATTAGATATTATGACAGGGATATTTAATCAAGTTTTTTCTTTTAAATATTATTCAAAGATCACAAAAATTCTGAAACATCAAATCACTTTTGCACAATTTGTTGATAGTTTCCCAATTTAACAAATTCTTGTAATTTCAGAATCCTTAAGTCCTTTGACTGAAATCATATATGAAAAAGGAAAAAATGAATTTGGCTGACGAGTGGCATGCCTGCTAATACAAAAACCTATCAACACTACCTGCTATCATTATTATTTTAACATATATGCGCTGATATAATTCAAATAAGAAAACTTACTCATCATCTCGGTATAGAGCTAATGCATGCCCAGTAAAATCAGCGGTATCCTTGTCAAGACCAAACTTTTCATACAGTTGAGCAGTGGTGGTAGAATGACAGTCAATGTCCTTGAAAGTCTTGGGATCATTCTGATTGAATTCTTGAACATAGACTAAGAAATTTCGAAACCTTCTCTTCTCAAACATACCCATCAAACCTGTTAACATAATAAAATTATTTACTTAGAGTTGTTACAAACAAATAAATAAATGTGGCATACAAGTGTTATACACTTACTTGATCCTAAAGCCTCTTTTTCATCAGCTGGTACTTTATAGATTTTTCCACCTTTATATACATAACTTCCCTCAACAGATTTGAATTCTAAATACCTAGTGACGCCAGTGTGTATTAGAAGCTTCACCAGTTGACCTAATTTTTTTTAAGAAAAAATTATAACCAGTTAATTTGGTTGCATAAACATATTACATTATTTTTTCATTGTTTGGATAATGTAAAATGACAGTAGTTCAAGGTGAAACAGTTATCAACTCAGTGTTTACCGTTTCACCATGAGTAACTGTAAGTTATGGTTTTTATAGTTCAACTACTCACAATGCAAAGAAAAGAAAAAAAAAGAGTAGTAGGGTTAAATATTTTATTATCACACCAGGCGAAAGATACTATAGTCGGCACAAATTTTTTTAATTAAACAATAAATCTTGTGGTGCCCTTGTAAAACTAATAGCATCCCAAAATTTTAATCGAAGCCTTCATAAAGTTATCAATTAATCCCACCCATATAAACTCAATTTAAACAATAGGAAAGCTTCTCAACATATTTTAAAAAGCAAAGTTTGACTTTTTAAATTTAAAAAAAAAAAAAAAAATGCTTTTCTTTTTTTTTAAAATCAACTTTTTGGAATTCTTTTAAAAATACTAAGAATAACATTGCTTATAATTAGCTGAATTTCAAAGATAAAATTACAGCTGAAATGTTGATTAAAATAAATCATTACCAGTGTTTTCATTACAGAAAAAAAAAATGGGACAGACTTTCTCACCCTTTCACAAAAACTGGGTGAGATTTCAAAAAGTTCAGTGGGATTTCAAAAAAACAGGAATAGCCATTGAATATTTTTGCTATTCTCATTAGGTTGCTCAAATGCTCATCAGTCAATCTGTTACGATATTTTGTTTCAATTCGGTTTTGGGTGCTAAATGACCTTGCAACAGATGCTGAACTCTTCGGAATAACTAATTCAATTTGTAGCATTGTGCACACACTTTCCTATCCTCTACATATGCTAGCATAGGCTTTTCAATTATTTCTGTTATAGAATAGTGAAGTTTGTTGAAGTAATTTCCATGTTNATCAGTCAATCTGTTATGATATTTTGTTTTAATTCGGTTTTGGGTGCTAAATGACCTTGCAACAGATGCTGAACTATTCGGAATAACTAATTAAATTTGTAGCATTGTGCACACACTTTCCTATCCTCTACATATGCTAGCATAGGCTTTTCAATTATTTCTGTTATAGAATAGTGAAGTTTGTTGAAGTAATTTCCATGTTCATACTTCTTGTTAGGTCTTCCATCATAGTCTTCACAGACTTCAACTTTTACAAATTGCTGTAAATTGCGGATGAGGGAGTTTGGTAATTCATTGACAGCTAAAAATAGAGCTAGCTTTAAACAACTTATTATAAAGGACTAAATTTTTTTTCCCAACACTTGCCGTAGCTGTTTTAATATCTTTTTAAAAATGGCGGAAGACGAAATTTTTTTCCAAAATTCGAGAAATTCGCGCATTTTAAAATTGATTAATGGAGTGCGCGAACTTCTCGCATTAATCATTTTTTAATGCGAGAAAAGAAAAAAATATACGAGAAAAGAAAAAAATATGCTAGATTCTCGCACTGTAGTGAAAACACTGTCACGCTAAATTTTAATCTATATATAACCAAAGTATACATTTTCTCATAGTTAAGACACAGTACATACGAATGCATGATTCAAATTTATTGAAAATGAAAAGAAAAAAAAACTTATTAAATACTGAAGAAAAAAAAGTTTAAAAAAAAAAAACATTAATTTGATAGATGTGTTTCTAAAGATTTTGTCTTACCATAACTGCAAGTTGATAAACATAGAATAACTTAACATAAAAATTTAAAAATTAAAAAAAAATTCTTTTTTTTTTGAAGTTAGTGCTTTAAAACTAGAAAATGGTAGGATTTACATTACCACCCTGCAGTTTGTGAAGAAAACCTCTTTCAATAACTACTTTTCACAGATATAAGAAATTTTTTTTTCCCCTTTTTGTCTTAGTTTGCGATCTAGAAATCCCAAAAATTTTAAATATCATTTCAAAGAGCTTTAATATATGGTAAGCTAAATACTAATCTGATTTTGCTAATTGAAAATTATTAATACTGTATCTACAATTAATTTAAAAACATAATTAAAGTCCTTAAAAGCCTTTTACATTAAATGTTTTTTAAATTGATGATTTCTTTGAAAGAAATCTATTTAAATTAGTGAACTAACTAAAAAAGCAACCTTTATCAATGAAACTACTCAACATTAAAAAGTCTAAGTTCAAGTTTTATCAGCTTAGAACTCAAATTATCAGAATAAATTACTATGATTACAAAAAGCTTTCTAAAATTGTAAAGAGAAAAATACAAGATTGTAGTTTTTAAGCAATTATAATAAAGCAATATAATTTATGTCAAAAAAATTTAAGCATCTTTACCATTGGCCATCAAAAACTTTGGAATGAGATCTACATTCCAGTCCCTAGATCTTCCATACTCTTCAAGCTGAGTAGCAGGCATGTTATATTTAGCAAAAAGTTCTTCCAAGGGAGTAATTGAAGCACTTTCACCTCCATAGTATTTATTACGATCCATGTGAAGCACTTTTTTCCCACTTACCGAAAGCATTCCACTCAAAATACATTCCTATAATAAATAAAAAACATACGTAAAATGACTTATAAACTGTTCCGTGTTCTACTGAAATGACTATAAACTTATAACGTAAAATGACTTATAAACTTATAACGTGTTCTACTGAATTCTTTTCAATATGTTGTAACTGTCAACCGCTGGCGAAGGGTAAATGCTATAAAAAATAATGTACTTTTACTTGTAATGATGTGTTTTGTTAGTGTTAGTTTGAAATTGTAAATGTTTTGTTAGTTTGAAAGTATTGTCGCAATAAATAAAACACTGATAAAAAATATTCAGATAAAAAATATACAAAAAATAATAAAGTATCTAAAATGCTTCTGTTAAATTACTGCACTATGGTTAATATAGAAAAAGAAACAAAAAAGTTCTAAATTTTTAATACAAAGTGTTGAAAAAAAAATGACAAAATTGACACGCCTGAATAAAATTTAAAATCACAAATACAAGACTTACGGTTCAGTATAAAGTAATCTATTTCAATTTTTCAAGTCTTACTTTTCCACACGTCTTTCAAGACATAAATTAACAAGTTTTAGAACTTAACAATTTCTAATAATGTAAAGAAAAAAAAATTATTTTAGATTATCTTTTATTAAATCTATTCAAATTTCCCTCCAAAGAAAACCTAGTCAAAAAATAATTTTCCTATTAATTCTTTGAATATTTGGCCAATTATTCAGCCTACCGAATATTCGGAAAAAGAGCTGAATACCGCATAGTGGCCGAATATTCATAACATTCTTAGGCATATATCTTGAAAACTTCTATTTAAAGGAATTTCTTAAAGTAGTGAATAAATTTTTTTCTTTAGTAAATCTTTCGAGTCAGTTGTAGATAGTGGAAAAGTGGATCTTGTGTAGACATCAAACTAGGAGTGCAACAAATATCTCGCCCTTTTTTTGAATATTCAGTCAAGTATTATTTGGAAAAGTATTTTTCAACAAAATTTTTAGGGTGGGGTTTTGAATAGATTTAATAAAGAATAATCTAAAGAAGTATTTCTTACTGTGTATTATTCGAAATTATTCTTATATACATTTGTTAACTTCTAAAAAGTTAATTTATGTTCTGAAAGAAAAATGGAAAAGCAAATTTTGAAGAATTGAAGATCACAACGCAGAAATCTTCTCTGTTTGCTTTTAAAATTTTGCAAGTCAATAAACTGTTTGGTGCCTTGGTACAAACAGGTAATAAGGAAATCTGTCTTTTATTCTTTTTAAGTTTTAACATTAACATATAAATGAATATGTAATCCAACAATGCAGTTTCTTCTCTAAAAATTTTTTTAATTATGCTTATTACTAATTGCAATAAATTATGAATAAATTTAAGATTAAGACTAACATTACCAAAAGTTGATAAACAAATTTATTAAAAAAATATCTATAGAATTAGAATAACTAATTCAAATCAGTTTGAAAGTTAATTTTTAACAATAAAAACTACGAAAATTTTTTTCAAACATATGAATTGAAACTAAATATTAATATATGTCTACTTTACTCAAAACAAATTAAGTCAAAGCAACTACTTTTTTTTCTTCAATTTCATGCACACCCGTGAACAAGGGAGCGTTTTGACACTCCCGACTAGCAAAGAAAAATGACCAGCAGACAAACCAACTCTTTTTTTATAATATAGATTACGAAACTATACTAAAATGAGTCACTTTATAAACATTTATTTAGCAGTACCATCAACGTTAAGGAACTCCCCTCCTTGGTTAATAGAGTGTAACAATAAGGATAATTCAGTAAAACAGATTTTTCTAATGTAAAAAAATATGCAACGTCAACAATTCAAAGTAATTATATATAACATTAAAAACAATTAAACTCATATGCAACAATTTTTAATTTAGAGACTATGAAAAATATAAATATGAATGTTTTGTTGCAAGTAATTAAGGGGGATGACACTGATAACAACTGAATATGATTAGGCTTAAAACTCACAACAGAAATTAGCGGGATATTTTAATAAATAAAATATCTAATGAATAAAGGCTAAAAGTTTGACAAACTAACTTTTAATCCGGTACCCAAAACAATGGCATCATATTCTTCGTCCATGATGTTAGACTTTTCACAAAATAGCTGTAACAATCAAGACAGTTGCTTTCGTCCGTATCACCACACCGCCCGCGGTAGATGATTGATTGTAAAATAAAAACCGATGAAGCTGGCAAATGGATCCAGTGTTTCTCTTCTTCGCTATTATTTTATGTATTTTTACCTGAGTGCAAGTAGATAATTGATACAGAAAATTCACAGAATAACTCTTTTCAATTTTAAATTATTTTTTGGATGTACTTCTTCTAAATATTTGGCAAAAACTAATTATCCGATTCTCCGGTTCAAGGTATATTCTAGCTAAGTATGAAATAAAAGAATTTCACACAACTAGACACTGTAATCAACCAATCAAATTATCTCTCCTTCAAATATTTAATTTATTATTTGGAATGTTTTCATTAATTTATTTTCCTATTCTTTATCCATAGCTGTAATCGCCATCACAATCGTACGCAATATCAACTATTCAATTGATTTACTCCAACGCATCACTTTTGTACTCAGTTTTCGTTCGTATTATACTAAATCTGACTTGTTTTTAAATGTTGAATCAGTTGAATAAGTTTTTTCAATAGGACTAGTTTAGACCATTGATACTCAGGGCACACCCATTATTATTGTTTATTTTAATTGTTCTGTCGACCTGTGCTTGTGACCCGGTTATAAAGCTTAATTTACCATTTAATTGGCTTTCGAATAAAACACTAATTTGTAAAATTTAAATAATTTTTTTTGGAAATGACTTGTTGAATAACTTTTAAAATGAGAGTAGCAATAAATGATTGGATCTCATTTGTGACCTAGAGAGTGATATATTCTCTCTGTAAGCTCAAGTGCGCTTACTAATTCTTTTTTTTTAATAAATTTAGCTAAAACTATAGATTATTAATATACTTTCTCTTTCTTGGCCTTCGTAGATTTAAAAGAAAAATGGGAGACTTTTTAGAAGCATTGCGAGAAGAAAGTGAGTTATTAAAACAAGAGTTAGAAAGGGTCAATTGTGAACTTGAACAGACAACACACGAAAAAAACTTGTCTGCTGAATATGGTCTTGCTTTATTGGAAGAAAAACAAACTCTTCAACACAGATATGAAGAATTGGAATCATGCTATGATTCATCTAGGACAGAGTTGGAATTACTTAGAGAGGTATAAACTTAATAAAAATGAGGGTATAACACAATTTATATATCAGCAGTGAGTGTATTTCAGTACAATTTACATCATAATAGTTCAAGAGACTGAGTGTAATGGCTTTAGCCATTATAAAGGTTCATAGTTTTTTATAATCAAATGTGACCAAAACATTGCTAAAATTTAAAAGATGCAATTGATGAAATGCTAAAAAATTATTCTAGATCAGTGGTTTCTAAACTTTTTCTCTTTACAAACACCTTCTAAGATCCAAAAGAGTGGGATATATCTGTATCGTGATCTGTGGCGCCAATTACAATCGCGAAGGTACCAAATATATTTTAAACTCGTAAATTTTTTTTAAAAAAAAAGCATGTTTGCCCGGGAATGGTTACGAGTTATATCTTTCGAGTTGGTCCCTCTCTGTGATGTTTTTTTTAGTTTTTCGCGGGCCGCTGGCCAGAAGTTGCTAGACTTGGCCATTATTCTGCCACATGGAAATCTCCTCTTTGCCTGGGGATGGCTATCTATGAGTTATATATTTTGAGTTGGTCCCTATCTGTAATTTTTTTTTCTTAGTTTCTCGCAGGCCGCTGCCCAGAAGTTTATGGACAGTAGAACAAGACGTAAGACTTGGAGATTATTTTGCCACATGGAAATCTCATCTTTGCCCGGGGGTGGCATTGAGTTATGTATTTTGAGTTGGTTTCTATCTGTATTTTTTTTTTTTAAACGCCTAGAAGTTCGCAAGACTTGGAGATTATTTTGCCATAGATCACGATACACAAATCCCCCCCCCCAAAAAGAAATTTATGAACCATTTGCGTAATATTTGTTTTACATGTTGATAATGGTTCATAACAAGAAAAGAAAGCATCATAAAACGATTTATTACAAACATTAATCAATTAAACAATGTTACTTATAGTTTCAGTTCATATAACATGTATTAAGATTTGTTTTCTTGTTGTAGAATAGCTCATATTAAGGGGGGGAACAATCATAGTACAAGCATTAATCAATTAAGCACTGTTGCATGTGAGATATTGGTATTTATCCAAGAGAACAAGAAATTTAAAGTTAAGCAAATGTCTATCAGTTTCATTCATAAATTAAGTTTAACATTTATCTTACTTATAAATCTAAGCTGAATATTCAGATAAATATGCTTTGCCAAAAATATTTTAAAATTAGCTTCTCTGAAAAAAAGGAATATTTATTTATCATACTGAACCAAAAGTCACTAAGCTTTTAGAGAACTATCACAAGATTGCTTGATGAGTTTTTTTTATTCTTACAAGTTTTGAAGAAGTCTCTATATCTACTTCAGGTTGATATCTCCAGCTGTTTGATGAAGATGCGTGGTTTCTATTTTCAAATATTAATCAATTAAGCAATGTTACTTGTGAGGTTGTCTGACAGAACAAGAAATTTAAAGGTTAGCTCAATGTCTGTCAGTTTCATTCGTAGATTAAGTGAAACATTCATCTAAATTTAGGCAACAGAATATTCAGATAGATATGCTTTGCCAAAAGTATTTGAAAAAAAAGTTTTTTTTTCTTCTTTTTTGCCAAAAGGGAATATTATTTATTATACTTAACCAAAAGTCACAAAGCTTTTACAGAACTATCAACACTCAATGGGTTTTCTTTTTCCTGCAAGTTTCAAAGTCTTTAAGCATACATCTGATTGACATGTCCAGCATTGCTTCTATTTTCAAAATAATAATTTAAGATCTATCACTTGTTTATTTTTGTATTTTCTTCAATTTTATTATTGAAGTTTCTGATTGAGAGCCGAAAAATTCAAAGGCCAGTTAGACTCACTTGCCGTCAAATATTAAATTAAAAGATTAAAAAAAATTTTACATAAATCCATATTCATTGTTATCTGCATAATGCATTTAATTGGCTAATGTTTTTGCTGATGAAAAAAATAATTTAGAGATTACTTTATTTTTATTGAATAATTGTAACTTCCTGGACTAATGATGGCACATCTTTTTTCAGGCATTGGCAAAGTATCAAACAAATCAAAAAGTAACTGCATCCAGTGGAATTGAGCAGGAAGAAAGTTTACTTCTTGAAACTGCTAGTAAAGAAGCATCATTTACATCACATGTATTAGAGCTACAAAAAGAGCTTAAACAAGTAAGTATAATATTTATTACAAAAAGGGCTTTAAAATTATTTAAACTGAAATGTTTGTAAGAGTTATTGATTTGTTTAAAACCTTGTTTCATAAGTTAAGGTAGGAACAAACTTATAATTTACAAACAAAATATTACATCATAAATACTTATGACAGGGGTTCATGAACTTTAAGTAAAGAAGTATCAGTAGAAAAAGTTAACTCCAAAAATGTTTTTAGATTTCAGTCTTAATTTTTTTTATTGATGTAAAATCTATTAAATTGCTTAGTACAGTAGAGAACCAATTATCTGGGATGCTCGGGACCATGGCTGTTCGGGATGTCTGAATTTTCCTGTTTTTTTTATGGGCTAAAAAATGTCATTTATCGATGTTTCATCGAACCCAAATTACAATGAAAAAGAGTAACACATTTTAAAGTAAGAAAAAAAATAGCATTTAAAAGAATAAAAACATTCACAAGTTTAGACAAGAAAAACAAGTTTGAAAAATACAAAATTTAAATATTTATTATTTGAAAATTTCATCAACTTTTAGCTGACAAATTTCACCGTGAAGTCTGAACTTCACCATCTGAACATGTCTGTTTCACCATCTGAAAATTTATAAAATTAATTGAAATCAAGTGATAAAATTGATTGAATTAAGTAAAAGAATGATTTTTAATATGTCTTTTAGGCTAGACAAGAAGAATCAAGAGTTAGGGATGAAAAAGAACGCATCCTTAAAGAAAACATTGACCTTGCTAAGAACTGTGATGTAAGTGAATGGGAAAAACGAAATTACAAAGCCGAATTGAAAGAACTGAAACTGAGAGAGCAGCGTCTCCTAAGCGATAATAATGAGCTAGAAGAAGAGAACATTTCCTTACAAAAGCAAATATCATCTCTCCGGTCTGCACAGGTTAGTAATGTGTTTTGTTTTTATATATATATATATAGCTTCTGTTCTGTTTATAAAAATGTTAATTAAAATTTTGTACTAATTACTTCTGTTTCTTTTTATTTTTATTTTTTTTTATCCCTCTGAATATAAAGCTCTTGGGCAAGTTTGTAATATAATTTTAATGATATAATTAAAGCTACTAAGTAAAAGATTTTATTAGCATTTAAGTTTTAAAACTTAAAGGAAATAAAATTATCAAAAATCATGTTTTATTTAAATTTTTTAGACTATGATATGAGCACAAATGTGAGCTATTTTGAAATCTTCTAATTAACAACAACAAAAATCAATAATAATTATAAAAACTATAGCATTAAATTTAAAAATGCAACTTTTTGACTTAATTTATTATTAATTTGACTAATTTGATTAATTTGACTTAATATTAACTGAACTGGATTTCATATAACGCATAGAGAGCCTTATTTGCAGTTGCTTAGAAAAAAAAATTTTAGAAAATAGTAACATTTGAAAGAAAAATATAATTCTTTCATTGCTTCTTAATTCAGTTGGTTTTCATGGAAGATGCAACAAACGCTTCTTGTCCTATTAGGGGCTCCCATTCTCAGAAGTCATTCATGTGAAATCAGAAGTATTAAAAAATATGTTTTTTTTATTTAAGCTCAAATGTTTTATTTAAATTAGATTTCTTTATTTAAAATATTTTATAAAAATCAGTTATTGAATGTTTTTAATTTATTAAATTATTTTAGGTAGAATAATTTATATGTATATATATTTTAAGTTTTTATAATATTGTAATTTATAACTAATTCTTTGGTTGCTGAAAAAGCAAAATTATTTCACTGTTTTTCTATCTTCTCAGCATTTATTCAGTAAGATCATCTAACTTTTTCAAAAAGCGAATGATTAGTTATGTCTAACCAGAAAAAAAAAATCTGAATTGCTGTTATTAAAAATCATTACTGACTTTTAAGTTCTAAATGTGATCTTATCTTTATAGACTTCAACGTAGGAAAAAACTCTTATGCAATTGAATTTGACAGTCAATACAAATTCAAGATATGAATCTGCATATTTTTTTTACAATATCTATAGAAAAAAATTTTATTGCTCTTTAGAGATATTTATCATTTTTCGCTTACTAAATATTTATTTTAAAACATATGAAATCTTGAATATTTTTCTTAATAATTTAAACTAAGGACTTTTTAAAAGAAAAATTAAGTGAATAAAATTATGAATGTAATTTTTAGCTCTCTGTGAAATGCGGAAAATTTCAGTTCTAACAGAATTTTTTTTTTAATTTTATTTTTTTATTAAAAGCTGTTGGTTTATTAGAAACATGGACAAACAGTATTTAATCTAACTTCATGAAAAATAAATATAAGAAATAATAATAAGAGTTGACTTTGTCAAAATGACTGCTTTTTGCCACGATGCAGAGACGTAAATGCTTATTGAAATTTTAAGCAAGTCAACATGTGATAGATTCCTTTTCATTGATGAGAAGCTCTTTAACTTCCAGGTAACTCATAACTCCCAAAATGATAGGATCTAGTCTGTTGGCACTCAAAGCACCTAAGCAAATATTGGACATTACCAAAATCCAAACTTGTTCATGGTCTGGGAAGAAATTTACTTAACCGGCAAAACACCTACCAGTTTTGTAGGTAAATACTTTAAATTAAAAAGTGTAATGGCTATATATTTACAATCTAGAAGCTGTTGCACTTGAGCAATTTAAAGTGGATGTTTCAATAAAACCTGCTCACAAGGCTAAAAAAGACACAATAGCAATGAAAGGCACTTTTTCCGGGTAAGATAACTTCTGAAGAAAGGCCACCCTACTTGTCAGATATCAGTCCCATGGACTATCGTGTGTGGTCCATTGTGGAGTCTAGGGCGTGCACTAAACCACACTAAAGTTTGAACTTGCTAAAGCAATTGCTTTATCCAAATTTGATAGATTAAAGAAGACTTGGGCCCATAGCTTAAAATTTCAATAAGCGTTTGTGCCCCTGTAGCGCTGCAATCGGTACTTTGTAATCAGTTAAATTTATTAGGTAAAGCCCACTCTTATTATTTTTTTTTTTTAATTTATTTATTTTTAAAAAAATTATTTGTCCTGTTTTTTTTTTTTTTTTTTTTTTTTTTTTTTTTTTTTTTTTTTNTTTTTTTTGTCACATTCTGAAAACAAATATAAGTCTGTGCAGAATTTTTTTGTGTCCTAACAAAGAGCTTTTTTTTTTCTCGCTCATTCTGACAGACTCTTGTAAAAATTATTAGGGATGAATTTTATATTCATTCAATTGTTATGATGTTTATATGTTAATAAAATAAAGTGCAAATTTTCTGTTCTGCAGTCTTTCGGCATTGTTTGATCAATATTTTTTTTTTTAAAAAAAACTAACTTTCATTAAGAAATGTCATTTTTTTATTTATTTATCTTTTAGATGGATAAAAATACAATCTTTCTTTGTACAGTTTCGTAGTAATTTGTTTGCACAGATACAAAAGATATTATTTCTTCATCCTAAACCCTTTCGTGGCATTTTTAGTTTTTTTTTCTTTCTTTCTATATTTTGTGAAATAATGAACATTTTATGCCTATTGATTTTTCTAACAATTTATTTCTGTATTGTAAGTAACAGCTTTTTTTTTTCTTTTTCAACCTTGCTTTCCAAACACTGGTTCTGTTGACTTTTTGATTTGTGGGAAATGCTTGTTATACTCGTGCCTTTTTCTTAATTGGAACCATGGAAACAAAAGTTGTATTATTTTCTGTCGACAAGTTGCAAATTCGTAAATGAATAAGTCTAGTTTGGCTACATTTCCCTTTCAGCAGATTAAACATATTGAAGAAAAAATATTTTTTCTAATTTCTAGGTCCTGAAATCATGCAGACCAACTTGCATGATAGATGATGTATGCTGCCAGTTCTCTACAGTAACTGCTTATTGTTTCTATTAAATTTCTTTTTAAAAAAATTCTTATATCTTTCATGATCATTTTATTGTTTATAATTTACAAAATGAAACTAGACACAAAACTAAGCTTGATAAAAATATTTTTCATTAAAATTTAAAAAACTAGAAAGAAAAGCAATTTTATAAAATATTTAAATTATTTTTCAAAAATAAACTCATAAGTGTCTGACTGCATTGTTATACATAAAAAAAAAGAGAATATGGGGATGATAAATGACAACATAAAAGAAAATAATAATTCTTTCTTTGCAGCCTTTTTATTTTTTCACCAATTTGTTAAACTTCTCCATTTTCAATGTTTTTTTTTATATCTATTCTATTCACCAGCATAAAATAATTGAGAGAAATGTAGGATATTTGTCCATATAGAAGGTGTAACCCATTTAAAAATAATATCAAAGGTTAAGTACTAGTTATCAGCACAATGATAATCTATGTCACACTTTACTGTAATTTTTCAGCCATTTCAAAGGTTAAGTACTAGTTATCAGCACAATGATAATTTATAACACACTTTACTGTAATTTTTCAGCCATTTCAAAGGTTAAGTACTAGTTATCAGCACAATAATCTATAGCACACTTTACTGTAATTTTTCAGCCATTTTATGCAAAGATGTTGTTAACTGCCTTTTAATTTAACATAAAGTTTATTGTGTATGTTTACCTTGTATTATGCCTTAAAAAAGGTTATGTTCTATAGCAGGCATAAAAAAAAAATTCAACAAACCTTCACTTTAAAAAAATGTTCAAGGAAATATTTTTAAGATTCATGGAAATTTTTGAATCACTATTTTGTTTGATATTACCTCACATTGAACTTGAAATATCAAGAATTATCTTTGAATGAAGGATCTATTACAGGACCTCCTTAAATTTTTCTATTTATTGTGAAAGAGGTAGAGAAATATCCATCAATTATAATACATTATTAGTAATATTTTAAAATTATCTATCTAATAATCATGTTTTTTAATTTTAAAAACTTTACTTATTCCCTTTTCTTACGTAAATTTTTTTTTCCCGCATGGTATGTTTGATTTACATGTAATATTCATATACCAGCTACTTAGATATTTATTAACTTTTGTTAAATTAACTTTTACACCTTGTTAAATAAATTTTTATTAATAGCGTTAGCTGTATTTAATTTTTTTTTAAAAATTAGGTTTTACACTTAACACTTTTTTATATTTTATTGAATTTTTTTTAGCATATTTTGCTTTCATTTCTTTCCAGGTTTTTTTTTATATATGTATATATATATAAACTTTTTTATTATACATTTAAATACTTGAAAATGATTCTTGAGTTAATAATGTGTCTTTTATTTTCTGATACATTTTTAGGTAGAATTTGAAGGTGCCAAACATGAAGTCAGATGCCTTAGAGAGGAAATAGAAGCAACTAAAGGCCAAATTGAAGAGCTAACATCTTTGCGAAGAATCGCTGAGAAACAACTTGAAGAGGCTCTGGAAGCCTTGCAGTCAGAGAGAGAACAAAAATATGCCCTGAAAAAGGAACTGGATCAGCGCGTGAATTCTGAATCAATTTTTAACATAAACAACCTAGGATTTTCTGGATTCGGGCTTGGAAGTAAGAATCAAAACTTTGGTAGCATTGATAGTTGTTTATCACCATCATCATTTTCTGTGCATGGAAGTATTAATAGCATTATCTTTAATTATACAAATTCTGAAAAGAAAAAAGCACCCAAGAAACCTTGCATGTGCTTTTCTAGTGCTTTTGAGATGCTCACTGCCTGCTTTGTCTCACTTTTTGCACCATAATTTTTTTCATGGTGCAAAATGCATCATTAATTTTTTGCATCATCATTTTTTTTTCTTCCTTTATTTCACTTTATACTGTTCCTAGAATTAACTTTCAAATTTTTCTGGTATATATTTATATCCTTTTTCTAGTTTAAATTTGCATCTAATACTTAAAAAAAGTAATAATGGTCTAAAAATACTAATAATTGCTTTATGAAAACATATAACTAATTTCCTAATCTCGGTGATTTATCTTTACATTTCTGTTCTTATATATTTATTTCTGTTATGAGTTTCATATATTATATTTCTTTATTTAAAGTTTATTTATAGATTTAAACTCTGTGGAGACAAGTTGATTTTTTTCTTTTAATTTGGATATTGGATTACTTAAAATTATGGTAGATTCTAGTTTAAATGAAAGCAGATGAGGTATTATTTTTCAGAGTAAGAATTAATTTCCAAGACCAATCCAATATCTAAAATACCTTCATACAAACTGAAAAAACAATGCTACATTTTACTTTTTTTTATTTATTAATTTTTTTTATTAGAAAGATAACTCATATACTCATCAATGTATACTCTTTTTTTTTTTTTTTTTTTTTTTTTTTTTTTTNTTTTTTTTTTTTTTTTTTTAACTGTTCTTTGATCTGGGGATATTATTACATGCTACCAGTATAAATATAGCATAAAAACATTTATGAAGTCACATTTAGTTTTATTTTGAAAGTGAATATAAAATTCTTCACCAAATAATGTGAGATTTAAGTTTCATTTTTTTTTTTTTTCTTTCATGTTTTCGAGTGCTGGAAAGACATGTATTCTTGTTTTTCCATTTAAGTCACAGATAAATATTAAACAGTGGACACTGAATTTTATGGTAGTCTCTTTGAACTGACATAAATACCTCTCCAATATTTTTATCCTTATATCTACAAATTATTAAATCTACAAAGTATCTAATATCGATAGTATCTACAAAAGTAAATTATTAAACATCACCCCTAAAAATTGTTCATTACTCCACTGAAAAAATATGTGATCTCTCTTGCTGAAAAATATGTGATTTTGTTATTGCTCATTAGTTATATTCATCCTAGTCATTTAAGAATCTTTTTAAGAACATGATATTTCCACTAAATATTTTTAAACCCGAATTTAAACATTTATTTTTATAATCCTGTATTTTAAAAAAATACTTTGGACATGATATTGTAACTTAAAATTACATGGTGTCATTGATTCACAAACATAGGAAAAAATAAGTATTAGAATGCTTATTTGAAATGGCAACTAATTTAGGTGGCAACTAATTTAGAGTTCCTTTAAATATTCTTGAGCCCCTCCCTCTAAAAATTGACTTCTTAAAAAATATATCATACATAATTTTATTTTTAAGGTTTAGAGAATATTGTTAATTTATTATTTTAATTTTCAAAATAATTCTTTAAAAATTGAAATAGTTGTGGCTGCAAAGTTTTTAGTCTTACATATTCTGTGTTCTTTTCTTTTCTTCAACTAAAATTTTTGGGCTCCTTTTTTTAAACTTGATTTTAAATACTTTGTCATCAGTTTCTTTTTCTTTTTAAAATTTCCATAATAGTTTCCATTTATTATATTGCAGCTTAATTGATTAATAGATTGATTGTTATAAAAATGTGAGTCATTGATCTCTCTTTTAAAAACGTCTTTTATTAGAAAAAAAAGAGAAGTAGATACACAATTTGTTTATTTAGAAATTATCTTTAGCTTTTTTCTATCCTTTTCTTTACCTTATAGAAAATCTTGAACTTAGTTTTTTGCATGTTTAAGAATAGTTTCTTGAAAAATTAGTTGCTCTTACTTCTATCTTATTCATGTTTTTAGAACAATAAAATCAAAATATAGATTTTTTTTTCCTCTAAAAATTTTATCTTGATATAAAGAACTGGAAAGTTTGTGTGCAATAATTGTTTGTATTTGTTCAAAAACAAAATGTGCATGTACATGAATTCATGTCCAAACTTGAGCTTGTGAATATAAGTCAACTTTTATTAAATAGTTTCTTTCAATTTGTGTCTATTTATTTTTTGTTAAAAATACCTTTTAAAACGGAAATATAATCGCTTATCTCCACATTGTAATTAATAATTCTGGGTTTTCTTTGTCATCAATTTTCTTTTACGTATTTACTTACACTTTTAATTCTTCAAAATAAACTCTGTTGAATAATTTTTTAAACCTTAGAAAAAAATGGCAATATGGATAGTTTTAATATCAAACAAAACTTTTTTAATGGATTTTAAGATGCTGGATAAAAACATAATATTTATTTTGATTCCACTTAAATTTTTCCTTAAAAACATTTTGTGTTGTGTAAGAGAAAAACAATTTTTCAACAATCGTTATGTTTTAGTAACATAATAGTTGAATATGCTTGTCTTTAGTTCAAGAGGTTGCCAATTTTAAATTGATGGTCATTATAAATTTTTCAGCAATTTTTTCCGATTATTTGAAATTATTCTTCAATTTTGTGGATTTTTTTTTTTTAAATTTATGTTTTTTTAAAGGACGATACAATTTTTATTTAGAATAATAAAAAAAAAAATTTTTTTCACTTGGAGCCATTTCATAGATAAAATTTAACATTTAAATAACTTTTAATCTATTATCAGAGTTTTCTAAATTCTATTTTAGTGGTTTGAAGGATTGACCTCGAATATACTAATTTATAAGTGGAAACAATATTTTAAGCTATGAAATCAGGTACAAAAGTGTACTTTCTTTTAATAAACATACCTTTTTCTGACTGATTAAGGTTTTGACACTTGTAATATAGAGGTAGGTGCAATAAAAAGACAATTGTCCCAATAGTTTAGTCAAGAGAGCAGTAAAAATTTTGAACATCTTAATGATATCCTTGTGACCAATCTCATATCCTTGTGACCAATTAAGTAAATCAGAAGAAATAAATTTGCAAATATGAAACTTATTTGTCCTATAATAATTTTATGTAAAAAGCTGTTATTTATTATTTCATTAAATAATAGTAAAAAAAAATTTGAAATTCCATTCATAAAAATTTTTTGCTTGAACTTTGAATTTTAAATGACAAAATACAAAATTTGTAAGAAATCAGTCAAAAAGTTCATAAAATTAAAAATAAAAACTAGAATACTGGTTTTTTTAAATTTTTATTATAATACTCTCTTTGGTCAATTTTGACCAAATTTTATATTCTGTCATTCAGCAAGTTAACCAATAAGTGAATGCTTTTTAAAAAATTATAATTTCGTTGAAGTCTTGTTTGAATAAATGTTTCACTATTGTTTTGACAAATTTGTAGCCTCCCTTAAATAAATTATCGTCAAATATTATTCAGAAATATGATAAAATGCATATAAAAGCATGAGTTCTCCCTAGGAATCAAACCGGACTAGGTGCTTTAACTCTGAAAAGGGCACTTTGAGTTTTGAAACGGCACTCACTTAACACCATAAAAATTTATTAAAAAGTGTTATATTTTGTAATAACTGAATTTTATCCTCAATAATTTCTAAATTACCCTCTTATACTATTTTATGTGTATACTTCAAAAATTAATTCTGCCTCATTATCGAAATAAGAGAAAAATTTGTAATTTGTAAAAATAATTAAAGGCACACTAAAAAGCAATCTCTGTGCATAGTTTTTTGTTTGATTTTTTTTTTTTTCAAATAAAGTAAACTAACAAAAAATTATCAATTGATAAGCAACTTGAAGGCTTTTTTTTCTATAATTTAAACTGAAAATAAACATTTAAAGGTGCATTTAAAAAAAAATTGGTATTTACTTTTAAAAAATAATTTTAAATCACTTATGAAATTTATTAATATCCCCCCTCCCTGAGAAAAGATACTTATAAAAATTTAAACAGTTTAAAATAATCCTAATAAAGTAATTATTTGTAATAGTAATCAGAATTAATCCGATAAACACATATAATTTTACCAGTATATAATCATTATTTAAACAGTGAATTAATTTTTTTTCTTAATGGAATATCAATAAAAATGCAGTGTTTTTAAGGGTTTATTTTTACAAAAAAGGCAAAGAGGACGCATTTATTGGGATCAAAAGGCAGGCAGGGCAAGCCGCCTTTTTAAAAGCACTTATTGAGAACACAGTGTACACAATCTTGAACAAAAAAATTTATATTTTATTTTCAAAAAAATTAACTAGCATTCATAAATATAACTATTGGTTTTACTATGAGAAACAAAAAGATATAAAAAATAGTTTGAATCTCATATGCCTTTTGATTGGTTTTCTATTATGTTACAAGTAGCAAATTTTATTTGCTTAAAAAAATTGTACATGCAAAACTACTTAAATTACAAAAGACTAAATACCTAATTATTTTGTTTCATTTAAGATTATATAATTTTATTAGTGACAATGTTTAGTTCATAAATAATTGAAATAAAAAAAACGTGTTATGAACAATTATTTTCCTGAACCCAAAATAAACAAAAGATTCTGGTATGTAATTACAAAAATAAATCAGTTTTTAGTTAGTTATTTTTTCGAACTATAGCCTCTTTTTTTTGTAATTTATTCATTTTTTTGTTTTATAAATATATATTTCAATATCACTATAAAATTACTTCTAAATATTTGTATTATGAGTACTTTAATAGTGATGGTACTACTCCTCTTGAACCATTTTCTCCTTCAGAGAATATGGGCAAACATTACTTAATAGGCGCTAAGAAATATTTTAAATAACTATTTGAAGACAGTAATTATTATGATGAATAATAATTATAGCTATAATTGAAACTGTAATGTTCGAAAAAAAGT